GTGGGGTTGTTAACCAATGTCAAAAAACAATATGTGTACTGACTGTTTAATGAGAAACTATTTGTTCTGTAAACCTTCATCTAAAGTACAATAAAAAAAATTTAAAAGTCCAGACATATTGAAAGAATTTATAAAGAGCATTCACAACCTTTATGTCCTCCTCAGCTCTTGTATGTTCGTTCCTTAAACTAACAAAATGTGAAAAACAGTTGAATTTATAAAATGTAAGAATTTGTAGTTTGGTTTTAACTTTTCTAATTTTTAATCTGAGGAAGAAGAGAAACTACGTATTAGACTTAATAGATTCTAAACAAAAATGAAACAATTTAGCTTTTAAAAGTATAATGTTCATAAAAAGAAATCCAGAGGGCTCTGTTATAGTTAATATTGCTACGTAACAAGCACCCCATAACAGTTTAAAACAACATTAATCATTTAATTTAGCTTAGGAATCTGCATTTATGGCAGAGTTCTGTGAGGATAGCTTCTCTCTGCTTCATATGGCGTCAGCTGGGACAGCCTGGAGGCTGGGGTTGGCCACACAGCAGGGGGCTGGGATCACATCTGCAGTTATTGCTGGCTATCAGCTGAGGCCTCAGCTGGGGCTGCTGGCTGAAATCATTCATGTGCATCTGCATGTGGCTGTTCGGCTTCCACACAGCAAGGTGGCGAGGTTCCCGCAGCGAGCATTCCCAGAGAATAACGCAGACATGCATTGCATTTGTCTGACCTCATCTCGGAAGTCACATAGCATCACTTCTGCCTTACTCTGCTCTACGGGTCGAGGCTGTCACAAAATGGGAAGAGGTCAGCATCTCACTGTAGAAGCATGTGAGATGAGATATATTGAGGAGCAGCCATCTTTGGAAAGTACAGTCTGTCACAGGCCCTGTCACGGTTTGAATTATGTCCCCCCAAAAAATGCGTGTATCAATTTGGCTAGGCCGTGATTCCTGGTACTGTGTGATTTTCCTGTATGTTGTAAACCTGCCTCTATGATGTTAACGAGGGAGGATGGGTGGCAGTTGTGTTAGTAAGGCAGGACCTGATCTAGAAGACTGGATTGCGTTCTGAGGCAATCTCTTGAGATATAAAAGACAGAAGTGAGCAGTGAGACAGGGGGACCTCCTACCATCAAGAAAGCAGTGCTGGGAGCAGAGTGCGTCCTTTGGACCGGGGTCCCTGCGCAGAGAAGCTCTTAGTCCAGGGGAACACTGATGAGAAGGCAGAGAGAGAGAGGGAGAGAGAGCGCCTTCCCCTGGAGCTGACACCTTGAATTTGGACTTTTAGGCTACTTTGATTATGAGGAAATAAACTTCTTTTCATTAAAACCATCCACTTGTGGTATTTCTGTTCTAGCAGCACTAGATAACTAAGACAGGCCCTCAAACATGAAAAGATACTTAAATTCACTTGTAAAAGGAGACATGCAAATTAAAACTCAGATAACATTTTTAACCTGTCATATCGGCAAAATCTCAGTTTTCCCTTTCTCCTACATCACATCATTTCCGTCAAGATATAAACCTAATGTAATTCTTACATCTTAAAAAATTCTCCCTTGATCCCGCATCCCCTTCCACTACTGCCTCATTTCTGTTTCCCCTTTATAGCAAATTCTTGAAAAGGTTTTCTATATTCAACTGTCTCCAACTCTCTCCTTCCATTTTCTTTTTTTAAAATTGTTCCTTAAAATAATTCATTTTTAAATAGTCTTATACTTAAAGAAAACTTGCCAGGGGGTAAAAAGATTCCCATCTCCCCCTCATCCAGATTCCCCAGTTAATAAAATTTTATTGCATTTACTCCATTCTCAGTCTGTGGCACCTCCTTCTCTCTCTCTTCTCCATCTCCAGACACACTCACGTGATCATTAGTCGTTTTTTTGAGCGTTTCGAAAGTAAGCATTGCAAATGATGTGCCATCGTCTCTTAACACTCCTGTCTGTATTTTCCGACAGCCAGGATGTTCTCCTACATGACCAGTGTACAGCCTTCCACATCAGCAGAACTACATTGGTACAGCACTCCCATCCAACCCAAAAACCCCTCCACATTGTGCCAACTGTCCCAGCTTTGCCTCTTGTTCCTTTGTAGCCCAGGACCCTAACCAGACATGATATATTTAGTTGTCGTGTCTCTTCAGACTCATTCAGTCTGAAGCAATCCCTTAGTCTTTTCCTTGACAGTAGAGTACAGACCTCACCCTGGGTGAGGTAACCCCCAGCCTCAATCCGTATGATCTTGGCTCATGACCAGATTCAAGTCACACGTTCTTGACAACAGCCTCACTGAAATGTGTGATGCAGATCATGAGGCAGTGCGCAGGATCAAGCTGTGCCATCCCTAGCAATGGTGACCTTCATCTCCTGCCATGGTGCTGGCTGCCAGGTTTCTCTACCTTGGGGTGGGCATTTCCTCCTACGTATTTGAGTAGTAGTTTGTAGAGAGCTTTCCAAGAGCCCGTCAATATTCCGCTCGTCATCAAACATCCACCCACCAGCCTTAGCAGCCATTGACGACCCATATCTGAATCAAACACCCATTCCTTCTATATGTATTAGTCAGCACACCACTGTAAGGACTGCTTATAGCTTTCCCGTCTCCTTTTTTTTATTTGTTTAGAATGTAAGGACTCATTGATTGCTGTTTTATTCATCAGGTGCTAATCTACTCTTATTATTTTAAATTTTGATGCTCAAGTTGTCCATTTGGTCAGTGGAGCCCCCTCAGGCTTCCTTGTGTCTGTTTGACATGTCGCACCATTCACTGAGCACTTTCTTGCTTTCTGGCACAAAAAGGTATTCCAGGCTCATCTTGTATTCCCTCTACCCCTACCTGGAATCCGCCAGCTCTCCAAGGAGCTTTGGTTCCTGTCCCAGTCATCTAGTGCTGCTGCAACAGAAATACCACAAGTGGATGGACCCACAAAGAGAAATTTATTCTCTCACAGTCCAGTAGGCTACAAGTCCAAATTCAGGGCGTCAGCTCCAGGGGAACGCTTTCTCCATCAGCTCTGGAGGAAGGTCCGTGTCATCAATCTTCCTTTGGTTTGGGAGCTTCTCTGCGCAGGAACCTCAGGTCCAAAGGACGCGCTCTGCTCCTGGCACGGCTTTCTTGGTGGTGTGAAGTTCCCATGTGTCTGCTTGCTTCTCTCTTTTATATGTCAGAAGAGATTGCATTAAGACACTGATCTTGTCAACCTCATCAGTATAAACTCATCACAGTGATAAAATTTACAGCACATGAGGAGATCACATATAATCTCATCATAGTGGTAGAGTTTACAACACATAAGGAAGTCACATCAGATAACACAATCATACAATACGAGGAATCATGACCTAGCCAAGTGGATACACACATTTTTTGGGGGACACAATTCAATCCATGACAGTTCCCTTCAGTGGAGAATGGCATTTAGAGACAAGATCTGGGTACCTGGTGTACTCACTGCGACTGGGGTGGGGTGTCATCACTTCTAGGCCCTCTTAGCAAAAAACACTAGGAAAATATCTAAGTATAATGTTAGAAGTCATGTAATTTTAATGTGTTGGAGCTTTGATTGCAGAGCGGTAACCAGCATGTTGTCAACTAACATGTTACAATCTGTGAGAAAAATAAACTTTCATTCTCTTTCCCCTCCCCTCTCTCCCAGGTATGTGCAATCCTAGAAATTATAGCGACACGCCTCCGACTTCAAAGAGCACGGTGGAGGAGCTGCACGAGCCGATCCCGTCTCTTTTCCGGGCACTCACAGAAGGGGACACGCAGCTAAACTGGAACATCGTTTCCTTCCCTGTTGCAGAAGAACTTTCACATCATGAAAATCTGGTTTCATTTTTAGAAACTGTGAACCAGCCACACCACCAAAATGTGTCTGTTCCCAGCAATAATGTTCATGCACCTTATTCCAGTGACAAAGGTAACTGCCAGTGATTGATTTTCTCTCTCCTTCCCCCTCACTCTCTGGGGTCTGTGAACCTATGTTAAGGTGGTCTTTTGGAGCAGCTTTTTGCATTTGAATTTGTATAGTCTTCAGTAAATTCTGGATGTCAATAACCCTGATCCCTGAGTAGATAAGGGGGCGTGTCTGGCATATTGTGGTAATAGGGGCTGTGTTGGAAAATAGGTTCCATGTCCCTCATTCTTATTTTATTTTCAATAGGCTTTAATTTTTCTTTTCATAAGATGGCACAGCACTGCATATCTCAGTACAGTATCACATGCCATTTGACAATATTCATAGTGTCCTGGTGAATTTGGGTTTTCATAATAGCATTGGTGTCGCAAGTGATGCCAAGGTCATCAGCTTTATTTATGAGAAAATTAGTACTACAGTCGTCTCATTCCCAGGTATAAAGTAATCCCAGCCAGTTCTCTTCAAATGGATGCTGTTGCTCAGAGGAACTAAATGAGAGAATGAGTTGTACAAGTTTGAGAACTTATTAAAAGATTTATTATTGAGGATAGGTCATAGCTTAATTTTAGCATTTAAAGGGCATATAACTTTTATTTTTATTTTGGAACATTTTATTGTGTTTTAGGTGAGTGACACAGCAAATCAGTTCCTATTCAAAAATTCATACCCAAATTGTTCCGTGACATTGGTTGCTATCCCTGCAATGTGGCAGCACTCTCCACATTTCCACTCTGTCTTCCCTGTTTGCATCCCTCCAGTTTCCCTGCCCCTCCTTGCCTTCTTGTCTTTGCTTTTGGGCAAATGTTGCCTGTTTGATCTCATATAGTTGATTGTTTTAAGGAGCACATTCCTCACAGGTGTTATTGTTTACTTCATAGGCGAGTCTATTATTTGGCTGAAAGGTGACCTCTGGGAGTGGCTTCAGTTCTAGGTTAAAAGGGCATCTAGGGTGATAGTTCCAAGGTTTGTCCAGTCTCTATCAACCCAGTAAATCTGGTGTTTTTTTTATGAATTTGAGTTTTGTTCCACATTTTTCTTCCATTATAACTGGGACCTTCTATTGTGTCCCTGCTCAGAACGGTCAGTACTGGTAGCCAGGCACCATCTATGTTCTTCTGGTCTCAGGCTACAGGAGACTGTGGTTCATGTGGGCCATTTGTCTTTTGGACTAATTTCATCTTTGAGTCTTTGCCTTCCTTCACTCACCTTTGCTCCAGATGGGAAGAGACCAATAGTTGTATCTTAGATGGCCACTAGCAAGCTTTTAAGACCCCAGACGCTACTCACCAAACTAGGATATAGTACATTATCTTTATAAACTGTTATGCCAGTTGACCTAGATGTCCCCGGAGACTGTAGTCCTTAACCTCCAAGCCCAGTAACTCAGTCCCACCAGGTGTTTGGATATGTCTCAGAAGTTTCCATAACTGTGCCCTGTATGTGCTGCATTATGTATATGAATATATATGCAGCACATACAATTATGTATGTACAAATGCCCACAACTATACCTATATATACACACACATAAACTCCCATATGCCCTTCCACACCTATATAGCATACATATCTACCTATGTAACCACTCACAAATTTTTGGTTGTTATTACTGTTGTTGCGGAGTTATGTATGTTATAACATTTACCCTAGTTGCCCTTTATTCTTGTGTATCTCTTATCGCCTTCATTTACCTTGGTCACATTGTGCTGACTCCTCACATATTGTGTATTGCTTTTCCTTAACCAGAATTAACACATATCTACTATCTAGTAAGTGATTATCCCCCGTCCCATCCCTGAAAACCATCAAAGAATGTTGCTTTCTGTGTGTAAACCTATTCTTGACTTTTTATAAAAGTGGTATCATACAATATTTGTCCTTTTGTGATTGACTTTATTTCACTCAACACAATATCCTCCAGATTCATCCATGTTATAAGAAGTTTCACAGACTCATCATTATTCTTTATCATTGTGTAGTATTTCATTGTATGTATATACCACGTTTTGTTTATCCTTTCATCCATTGATGGACAGGGCTGGTAATTTTTTTAAAGTTCTTTGATATTTTCAAATAAAAGTCACCACACAGTTTACTGTGGAAGAATAAAGCAATTATGAAAATTACGGTAATTTCTTATAATGTGAAATGAATTGTGCATAAATAGTATAATTTGCACTTTTTTTATTTGTTAATTTGTCATGTCCTCATTACAGTCCTACCTATCTAAAAGAATATGAACTTTTGTTAGCATCAATAGTAAAAGCAAAACAACTTTTGATAAGTGGCACTCAGAGTAAGTAATTCTTATATTCTTTTTAAAGTATTTTAAGAAATTCTAGATTTTGCAAAGCATCAGAAATGTATGGAAACTTCACTGGAGAATTCTATCAAACATTCAGAGAAGAGCTCAGACCAGTGCTACTAAAACTATTTTAGAGCATAGAAAAGGAAACAGTACTCCCAGATTCATTCTATGAAGCCAGCATAACCCTGATACCTAAGCCCTGCAAAGAACACCACAAAAAATGAAAAGTACACACCAGTATCCCTCATGAATATAGATGTAAAAATTCTGAACAAAAGTCTAGCCAATAGATTTCAACATCATATCAAAAAAGTAATACATCATGACCAAGTGGGACTTATACCAGGTATGCAAGGATGGTTTAACATTAGAAAATGAATCAATGTAATCCACTGCATAAATAAAACAAAAGAAAAGAATCACCAGATCATCTCACTTGACAAAGTCCAATGCCCATTCCTGATTAAATACCCTCAGCAGAATAGGAATAGATGGAAAATTCATCAGAATAATAAATGGCATTTATATAAAACTAACAGCCAACATCATTCTCAACAGAGACTGAAAGCATTCACCTTGAGAATGGGAACCAGATAAGAATGCCCGTTACCACAACTTATTCAACATTGTACTGCAAGTTTTAGCTAGAGCAATAAGACGAGAAAAGGAAATAAAGGGCATTCAGGTTGGTAAGGAAGAAGTAAAACTACCATATTCACAGATGATATGATGCTATACATAAAAAATCCCAGAGATTCCACAAGAGAGCTACTGGAACTAATAGAAGGATTTGGCAAAGTAGCAGGATACAAGATCAACATACAAAAATCTGTTGGATTCCTATACACCAACAAAGAGAACTTCAAAAAGGAAATGAGGAAAACAATACCATTCACAGTAGCACCCCAAAATATAAAATATTTAGGCATAAATCTTAAACAGGGACATAAAAGACCTGTACAAAGAAAATTACAAAACACTACTGCAAGAAACCAAAAGAGACCTACATGAGTGGAAAAACATACCATGCTCATGGATAGGAAGATTCAACATTGTGAAAATGTCAGTACTACCCAAAGCGGTCTATAGATATAATGCAATCCCAATCCAAGTTCCAAGAGCATTCTTTAAGAAGTTGGAAAAACTAATCACCAACTTTATCTGGAAAAGAAAGAGGTCCCAGATAAGTAAAGCATTATTAAAGAAGAAAAACAAAGAAGGCTTCACACTACCCAATCTCAGAACCTGCTATACAGCCACGGTAGTCAAAACAGCCTGGTATTGGTACAACAGACAGATAATCCAATGGAACAGAATTGAGAACCTAGATGTAAATCTGTCTACCTGTGGACAGCTGGAAGACCTTCAGTGAGATGGATTTAGACAGTGGCTTCAATAATCAGCTCAAACATAACGAGTGTGAGGATGGTGCAGGACCGGGCAGTGTTTCGTTCTGTTGTACATAGGGTTGCTATGAGTTGGAACCGACTCAGCGGCACCTAACAACAGCATGGACAGCTGATCTTTGACAGAGAGCCAAAGTGCATTAAATGCGGAAGAGGCACTCTCTTTAACAAATGGTGCTGGCAAAACTGAATGTCTATCTGTAGAAAAATGGAACGGGACCTATACCTCACACCATACACAAAAAAACTAACTCAAAATGCATCAAAGACCTAAATATAAAAACTAAAACAATAAAGATCATGGAAGAAAAAATAAGAACAACATTAGGGACCCTAATATATGACATAAATAGAATACTAAGCATAACTAAAAATGTACAAACAGCAGAAGAGGAAGTAGATAAATGGGGCCTCCTAAAAATTAAACACTTATGCTCATCAAAAGAGTTCTCCAAAAGAGTAAAAAGACAATCAACAGACTCGGAAGATAATTTGGGCTACACCATATCTGATAAGGGTCTAATCTCTAAAATTCATACAAAACTTCACCTCAACAACAAAAAGACAAACAAATGGGCAAAGGACATGAACAAACACTTCAGCAAAGAAGACATTCAGGTGGCTAACCAACACATGAAGATCATTAGCCATTGTTGTTGTTGTTAGGTGCCATTGAGTCAATTCCGACTCATAGCGACCCTATGTACAACCGAAAGAAACACTGCCCAATCCTGTGCCGTCCTCATGATCATTGTTATGCTTGAGCCCATTGTGGCAGCCACTGTGTCAGTCCATCTCCTTGAGGGTTCTTCCTCTCTTTTGCTGACCCTCTACTTTGCCAAGCATGGTGTCCTCCTCCATGATAACATGTCGAAAGTATGCGAGACGAAGTCTTGCCATCCTTGCTTTGAAGGAGCATTCTGGCTGTACTTTTCTAAGACACATTTGTTCCTTCACCAGCATCAATTCTTCTTTGGTCTTCCCTATTCATTGTCCAGCTTTTGCATGCATTTATGAGACAATTTAAAACACCCTGGCTTGGGTGAGGCGCACCTTAGTCCTTAAAGTGACATCTTTGCTTTTTAACATTTTAAAGAGGTCTTTTGCAGCAGATTTGCCCAGTGCAATGCATCCTTTGATTTCTTGACTGCTGCTCCCGTGGGTGTTGATTGTGGATCCAAGTAAAATGAAACCCTTGACAACTTCAGTCTTTTCCCATTTATTATGATGTTGCTTATTGGTCCAGTTATGAGGATTTTTGTTTTCTTTATGTTGAGGTGTAATCCATA